CAAACATAGCTTTTTTTTTACAACACAAACTGTGTTGTTGTGTCTTTAAGACTTGTTTATTAGAATAGAACATAATTCAAATAAAAATGTTTGGTTTTCACAAACTAACAAACTAAAAAGAATAGGATTTTAAATCTGAAAATCATAATTTAGTATAAGATAATCCAGTTTACATCTAAAATTACATTTCGATAGTCAAATCAACTCCTGTCTGATGTAGAATTCTGATTTTAAAATTAGCTCTAAGCAGACAATCATCATATTTAATAAATATGAAGGCTTGAAAACATCTGTCTGTCATCGAACTGTATAATATTATCATAATGTCATTTAGTGAATTGAATTTCTAAATGAATAGTATTACTCTGAGCTATTTTCTGTTTATCTGAGTACAATTTGAAATTTTTATTTTATTTTTTTTTTACCCAAAGCACCTTCATTGTTATTTTTAATTATTAAGTGACCTAGTTAAATATCAATGCTTAAAGTGCACAATTTAATACATAAAAGTGTTTTTCATTTTGTCCCTTGATAACCGTCGGTTTATGGGTAATCAGGAGCAGCAGAGAAAGAAACAAGAAAATGCACGCCATAAATGTTCAAAATGTTGATTAGTTTCACACTTGGTTTCAGTTAACTTTTAAATTGCACAATCAAAAACACTACAGAATATTCTGCTGAAGTGCATAAATCTGATAGACGTTTATTGTTTAGGTGTAAATTCCTTCTTTTTGCTAAATCAAATCAACAATCCAGAACTGAAATGTGTCTTAGTCTGAACTAAATATGGCAAATGTTTTTTTTAAGATGCATAGCATATTTCTCAGAATAGTTTGAAATTGTTTGGTGTAGCTAAAAAAAACAAAAAATTGTTTAATAGTTCCTGTGCCGCTCCTAATGAAATTACAACCTAGGTGGTTAGCCATAACACTTAATTTAAAACCCACCACTGTGCTATGGACTGTTTTTTTTTCTGTTTTATATATAGTTATAGAGGTGTAGTCCAAGATAAGACTGTGCTCAAAATGAGTCATCGAGACAGTTTGTCATCGCTTTTTCTTTTGTTCGATTACCACTCTTTGTCCCAAAAATACATATGCATTGACTATAAAGAAATAAAGAGAAACTTTGAGAAGACGTATGGTCAATCGAGCACAGAACTCGAAAGACAGAAAAAGAATGAGAGGAGGTAGAGAGATCAGCCCTTGAGTCTCTTGTAAACATGCTGTTGCTAGAGAGGCAGTGCAACGTTCTTAGTGCCACTCTCTCAACAACGCTAATTATCAACCAAAGACATGCTAATTACATAGAGCTTTATTGCTAATGTAGCAGGTCTCTATGCCAGCCGCCCACACTGTGAGCTCCGTTCCCCTACCTCTGCCTCTCCTCCCACTACAACTTCAGGCACCGCAGTAATACAGGGAGAATGATGCATGCAGTTCTGCTGAAGACGAGAGCTTTTACAATTTCACGTCAGAAATGACACATATAACATGTCATGCAAAAAACATCATTCTTTTCTTACGGAGAAATATTAGTTAATCTACATCCCTTAATCTAGCTCTTTATTTTGTTCCTAAACTCCTCCTCATCAGCCATTCATCCCTACAGGAAGTCTGCTTTGCTCTTTCCTCCCTGCAAACTCAACAAGCCTCCCACGTTCCTGCATCTGTGACGCTGCTAAACAGCATAGTAAAGGGTTTCAAGGGAAAAATCCTGACCCTTGCTCAGACCCCCCCACCCCCTTATAACCACGATAAACGTGCTAGTCTTTGCCCTGCGGCCAATCCCTTTAGCACACCGCAGCTCAGGCTAGAGGCCTTTTTAGATCGATTTCTCCCACAGTGAGTTGCTCAAAAAGCGCACAGTCCTTTGGGGATCAAATTGTAGGTAGTGCACCGTAGCTCTCTCCCCCGCTAGGCTCTTTAGCGTCTTTCCCCTGACACGGCTGTTTACACGTTAGCCATCCTGTGCTCCCTAATGGAGTCACAGTTGAAGGAAGAGCTACAAAGAACACAGACACTTGCAGAAACATGTGACAGCTGTCTTCATGGGTTCAGCAGGGGCAGCTTTATAGACTAACTACACTGGTAGTGAAGAGCTAGAAGCATTAACAACAACACTGCTCACATGGAAACTAGCCTTTCAGACTTATATCCTAAATTGATAAGTGTGATTTATAGCGTGTATGAAGCCCTAAGCAGAATAACATTTCAAAAGAGCTTGCTAGTATGAATTATAGGTTAGTATTAAAGCAGGTCTGAAAAAGTGAATAAACTGTCATGCTTTTCAGTACAGTCCGTGATAATGCACCAGGTCCATTCCATTTGTTTTCATCAGTCAGGTTAGTCATATGTTGAGTGCCTAATGCAGGAACTGCATCAACACTCTTCACATTTGACTCTACAAAATGGAAATGGCTGTGAAACTATCCACTACTGAAATCAGTAGCCAATGTTTGAGGTTTCACTTAATGTTACATGTTTGCATATGCTTGTTAATTGGAGAATAATGCCAAAAACATATGACAAAAGTCTTCAGTATCATAGGCATTTTTTTTGTGCAGTTTTTTATGTACATCGATTTGATGATGCATTTGAAGGAATATCTGACAGCAAATGAACGGTTTGTTTGAGTTAATTTTTTATTTTGCACTGAGCCAAAGGACTCTGTTACTTTATATCTGTTTGTTTGCTTTCCAATAACAGATTTAAATACCTTTGTATGTGTCCTGCATGAATTATGAGCATATCATTATGCTGCTGTTAATCAACAACAACAAATGCAACTATATATAATCCAGCATTCCTCTACCACACTGACAGTTAAACGGATAAATCAGGATTTTCGATTTGAGGTTCTTATAAAATGCTCTAACCAGCTCATATCTTACATACAGCAGATAACTCTCTTGGTGTTTTCATTTAGTATAAATTTAGATTAGTTTACCTCGGAGGCTAAAACCAACAACTGGTCTAAGAAGGGACAAGACCAAAGCAGACTTTTCAATCTTAAAAAAGCTCTAATCTCAAAAATATTGCAGCGCTTCATGCAGTTCCATTTTTAAACCTTTAAACCATTGTTACCTTTGCATTTGGTGGTTGGTTACAAAGAGGTTGATTCACAACTGAAATGGAGGTGGAGGCTATGAACCACAGATTATTTTACAGTTCAAAACATATGAGAGTGTTTCTGGTCAGAGTAATCATCCGATATTACAATACCGTGTCAAAAGCTAATATATTGTTGGTTTAAGTGATTGCTTTTGATATTTATTTTATCTCCTTATTTTTTAAATCTCTGAAGAGAACGGCTTTAGAAGTTCAATCATATGCCACCTCCAACCTCTATTTTCTATATAACACCAGATTATTTAGCTCAGTTCCAGTTTTGGATTAGCAGTCCTGCTCATCACCACCATGGATATTACACAAGAAAATTAAATGTATCCTTTTCCTTCTTTTATTTTTATTTTTTGCATGTCAAATTGAGGGGGAGTTGTTTTAAGAATGCATAAACTCACCTTGATCTTAACTCCTCTTTGGCTAGCTATTTCCTTTAGCCTCCAGTTCGAGATAATCTGCTCATACTTAACGAAGACTCCAAGAGAGTAATAAACAACCTATAAGATATAAGCTATTAAAATAACCATACCTTATTAATGCTGAACTATCACTCCAACGTGATATTTTAGATGTCAATATTACCAGATAATTACAAAGAATAAGGTTATGAATTAATAAATGAATATTATGCTGGCCTGGGCAAAGTAAGACCTTGTTATATTTGGTAATAATTATCGTTTTCATTTAATTAAATTGTGATAAAACAACAAGTCCGGGGCTTTTAACTTCGGATTGGCAGTTAAACAAAAACATTAACAAAACTTGAATATAGAAATGCCTTCTAAATCTGCGCCCAATATGAAAATGGGACATACACAAAACACTCAGAATAATAAAACATAAAAACTTCAATCCTTAATAGAATAGAATAGAAGAGAATAGAATAGAAAATGGTGTTATTTTCCCACAATGGGGAAATTCTGGTGTTTACAGCAGCAAAGAAAATATAGAAAAAATGGTCACACAAATATGGACCTTAGAAAAATCTATAAGAATAACATAAAAAAAATAGATCTAATAGAATCTAAATTTGCATATATAGCATAATATATGTGGGTTCTATCACTTGAACAACTGCTTTGCATAGGTGTTTGGACATTTTCATATGCATGAGGAAAAAAAATGGACTTTAAATGACTCTACTTTATACTTGGCAGAGTTAGACGGTGGTACTGTAAGGCTAAGTTAAAAGGAGGGGGAAAGGGCAGAGAGATATAAACCCTGCATGAATGCCTTTACGTCTGTTACCCACCAGGTCTGATGGCGTTCCTGTTGCATAACAGGTTCACGTTGGAGGCTTAAAGCTTCAGGAGGCCGCGAGCGTCATTTCCTGCTTGATCTACCTGCATCCAGTGTCTGGGCTGGTAGCGCTGCTTAATGTCGCCTAGAGCCACTTTGGCGACATGTGTCCAAAGCAAGTCAGATCAACATCCTCCTCTTAGAGGCACATCGATGATGACAAGACACCAAGGGCAGGGTGCAGTGATTATGCACCACAGGGGACAGCTGAGAAACCCTGATCAATAACAGGCAACCTCTTTTTTGCTGGGAAGTTTAAACTGAAAGAGGAGGCCATTTAAAGAAAAATATGTTCTTGAAACTCATGACATAATGCAAAGCTTTAAAATGCCTTTTCTGAGAAAATGATTGATATTGCTACCAAGCCCCTTGGGGACGACCGTCAAGCTATGGGAGCAATTATTTCTTGCACTCTTTTAGGTGTGAAATCTAAAAGAGAGAAGTGAGGGTTGCTGAACGAGTCACAAGCGCAGTTACCATCTGTCTGCTTCTTCTACATTTGTGAGTGCTTCCATGTCAGGATATGTGTTTATATGTATGTTTGTGTGTGACTGTGTGATTTTTTTTGTAACATACCTCCACAATATCAGAGTTGGTTCTGCTCTCGTGGGGCTCGTTGTACTCAGTGTATTTAAGGAGGACCTTGTCCATGTCTGTGCTAGCATACTGGAACAGCTTGTTAGTGCTGTTGAAGATGATTAGGGCAATCTCGCAGTCACACAGCACGCTCAGCTCATATGCCTTCTTCATCAGGCCAAACTTTCGCTTTGTAAATGTCACCTGGGTGAGAAAAAAGAGAGAAAACAAAATAGGATAAGATTAAAGCAATGCCAACTCAAGCAGGGAGGTGAAAATATTAGAACTAAATGTAATTTACTTAATTCTCTAGAAGTATAGATTGTAGAAAGAAAATAAAAAGCACACAGATGATGTACCAATCCTGATTTAATACGGAAATAAGACAGAAATCTAAAATTATAATTTTTGTTCTCTTCAAAAAATATCTGTTCTACAGGAAACATCATTAAAGATAGAGTGAAGTCTGCTGATGTTTCAATCTACTCTGACTGTAACAGTCCATCCACCATACCAGGAAAAAAAAAAGAAAAAAAAAGGAGGAACTGAAAATACTCCGTCTCAGTCAGATAACGGTAAAGAGGATCAGTTACTGCTTGTACATCAAAGATCACAGGGGTGTACTGTGGAACATGTGTCAAGTTAAAGTTTCCCCTTGGAAACAAGTACAGTGTCTTGTGAGAAAGAAGCAAAGTTTAACCCATTTAGATCAATGTGTTTGTTTGTAGATGTGTCCAGTGAACCGGATATCCTTGGTACCTTGCAATTAATTAAAATTTTTCACATCTTATTTTCCTTTGTTTTGATAAAAAAGAAAATAGAGACAGAAAAATAAAACATGATCTCTATTTTTTTTCACCAATAAAGTAGAAAAAAAAAGAAAAAAGATTGAAACACCTTTAGCCACTAGGTGTGCTAGACCTGTAATTTCCAGTTTTAGTGAAACTGCACTGTCGCAAAACTAGACAGTCTTCCTCTATTTTTGGAATCTGATAGCAGAGCACAACAGAGCTTTTTTTTTTGTTACTTGGAAATGGAGGCCACATTCACCACTCAAGATTTCTCCTAAAATATTAAAAATAAGGGAAGCAGAATTGCATGTGCAATTTTTCTTTTCTAAGTGCAATAAGTAGGCATGTTGCAGATGATCAACACAGATTGCAGCGCAAATGTTAAGACATGCAAACCATTTTAGTTCCAACCCATTAAAATGAGCTAATTACACGTGATAGCTGGCAGAGAGTGGCCCAAAAAGACAGATATCGCAAATGATGCTAATACAGTACTTGGCTTAAAAGTTACACAGCGTTCCTTCCAGTTTTCTGACTCAACACTTTGCAGATTCAGCCTTGGTGGAATTGCAGCTGGAAATGTTTCGGAGTTGTTGTTTTTCTTTTTTTTTTTAGCTTTCCCAAATTACAGACTAAATTTAAATACTAAATCGTATTTGCAAATAGCATAACTTTGGTCAGATTTAATGTAAATAAATCTAGGTGATTCTAACATACCGGTATGTATAAATGTACTTTGATTTAAAGTTGTCCATTTAATTCTTGTTTGTGTGACCCACTTCCACAATCTTTGAGCCCCTAACAAGTTCCTTTCATTGGTAACTATCATACAAAAATTAATAATAAAAAAATACCAGAAATCTGATGGTTTCCATTTAACATTGACTTTCTTTTTTCCCACTTTTACTTAAAAAGACATATCAGTTTAGCTGGAGTTGGGTGTTTATCTGTTTCAATTTAGAAATATTGGAATTTTGGAATAAAACCAGATATTATTTGATAATCTAAAATATAAGGATGGGATGGTTGATCTTTCACCTAACATGGTTGTAATATGCCTGCTAGTAAAAGCTAGCAACTGAGAGACAAAATTCTGTGACTCTGCTTGAAGTTGTTTGCATATGCATGGTAATCTACTCAAGATAAAACCACAAGAACTGTCTCATGCAACCCCTCTGTCTGTGTCTCTTTATGTTGGTATGCAACTACATCTGTGTATGTCTGTGTGAGCCCCAAGATTAGTAGCCTTTGTTACAAAGGCATACAAAGTGGTCACATTGTGAAAATAGAACAGCCTCTATTCCTCCTATTGTTTGGATCAAAACTAGAGCAGTGAAAGTGAGTTAATTCCAGTGAGCTGCACCTGCTTTCTTTTCCAAGCCATGTGTGCAAGCTCTTTAGTTGTGCCGGGAGAAGAAGAAAAAACTGCCACTGCCAGCTTCCCTGAGCAACACTCCGTGTTGTTATTGGAATCTTGTTTTTTTATTTTCCTTTGTGAATGTGTGTGTATTAGAGATCTATCTTGACCAAGCTTTTTAACAGCGAGAAAATGCTGCCAGAGCCAAGCCCAGCTGGTAGCTAACCATCTGAGTTTGTTGATTAAACGCATGTTTGTCTATTCTCCTCTGTTTAATTGGGTCAAAAGATACAAAATAAACGCAGAATAAATGGATGCTCAGAGTACAATAAAGAGACCATCACCTCAAGCATAAAGACCCTTTTAAGCCTTTACAGAAAAGGTCTCAGTTTGTGGCAAATCTGCACCATGAATGGGATTTTGAAGTTTATCTGTAATGTGCCACAGTTTACAGTTTGCTTTCATGACTGTAAAAGAAAGAAAGGCTATTGATAAAATTGAATTCTCTGAAATCATATCTTCTAAGGACCACAATGGAAATTCAATATTAAATCTTCCCCCTTAATCTAGCATTTATTTATTTCTGTCTTTATTTTCAACTAAAGTAAGCAAAATCCTGATATTTCCAGGGCCCCTGTTTAACTCTAAAGCTATCCGTGAGATGTCAAAGCATCATGCTGAGCTAGCTGTCAGGCAAGAGGCTGAAAGAGACATGAACAGCTTTCCAACTCCTGACAAACTTGTGTGAGCAGCGTCAGGTCACGTAACTCAGAACATTCGTCTGATTCAGTGACGACACAAGGAGAAAATGCTCCCCTGGGCTCTAAATACCATGCTGACATTTACACAGTCACTGGGAAATGTGAAAAAAAAGAACCTTTTTCTCATGTCTTCAGATTAAATCACACCTTTAGACAATGTGATTAATTGTCATATCCAACACACCTTTACCTGTATCGTCCACAACTGAAACTGAAGTATTTGTCTCCAAGGGATCTGGGAGCCTCAGTGACTGAACTCCAGTAGAAGTTACACATGAGCCCCTCAATAAGACGTGTTTTGCACAACATAAGGTAAAAACAGATTGTCGAGGAACACAGCACATAGGGTGTTGTCCTCCATTTCTGTTTAATGCAAGTTGTAGACACAAGGCACAGCTAACTGCTATCATAGCTCCATTATCTTTTCTGTATCCATTTACTAACGCATCTGGCACCTTTAAGTATTTAAAAGATGTTCCAATGTGAAGGGCCCAATTTGAAGGGTCAAAAGTACCTCATCTGCAAGTGAACTGACACCTCTCATATTGTGGCTGGTAGTTTTTTTTTATTATCATATCTCTAAAAACATGGGTTTAGTAAGTAATCTGAGCACGGTTTATACAAACAAGTATCAAAGTATGAAATTAGATCCATATCCAGAAAAAAAAAAATATTTCAGATATGGTCTTCAGTTTAATTCTGGTGCCTGTTAAATTGAGATTAAACTGACAGCAGTGTGGTGGATCGCTTCATAGCCAACTGCTACAGCATAAAAGATTAATCATAAAAAAGCTAAAAGTAAAGAATTTACTTTATATAAATGGAGAAAACAATCTTTTGTTAGCTCGCTATGAATAAAAACTGCTAGGAAATCCTGTTAGGAGTTGAATGATCAACAAGGAATATTCAACTTTAGAAAGAGAAAAGAACATTGGTCAAGCATCTATGTGTTAATTTCAGTAATTTCTGTTATTTTATTTTTGTTCAATAAATTTCTAAAAATAAGTCTAAATGGGTTCATAAATAAAATAAACAGTTGGCTTTGTCAGCAAAGAATTACAGATAAATAAGATCTGAATTTAGAGTAAGGGGTCTTCAACCCTGGTCTTTCGGGACCCAAAGTCCTGTTTTTTTTTTTAGGTTTTTCTCTACCTCTAAACACCTGATTTAAATAAATGGGTGCTTATCAGGTATTTGAAGCCCTTAACGGCTGCTGAGGAGCAATGCAATCATTTGAATCAAGTGATCTGAAGCAGAGACCTATTTAACACAAAAAGGATATAATGAGTTATGAGGACCAGGGCCAAAGACCCCTGCTTTAGATTTCTACTGCCAAAAATAAAATTGGCTTTGGTTCAATACAAAATGTTAGCATAAAGTGCCATTTTTATAGCTTTTAGGTATGAAGCGATTTTTTTAAGGTCATCTATATTTTTTTATTTTGTCATCAAAAATATCTATAAATCATAAACTTTTAGACAAGAAGCCTCATCTTAACAGCTAGAAAAGGAAAAGAATCGAATCAAGGTTGTCTAACTTAAAATCATGAATGTGGAACTGCATGCATGCTTTTCCCACATATCATAATTCACACATACACTGTGTTTAACAGTGCTGAGGGAATAAGTGTGATAACAAAAAGCCTCAACTGACCAAACAATAACAGCCACATAAATATCACACCACGCCCACATATCTCAACCTGACACGTACAACCTGCTACCTTCGACACAAGTATAACATTTTTTTTAAAAACCAATCCGCACGCATCCTTAAACACACACGGTGCAACGGCCTGAACGCAAACACACAATTTAAAAATAAAGACAGTTGGCTTGTACGTGAATGCTACCTAGATGACAAATGGTTGGTTAAATACTATATGTGAGATGTGCTAATTTGTGCTGCTTCTCATCGACTGAATTTTTATGTTCTAAACTTTTCTGTCACGGCTTGAGGATACAAAAATTTCCGTCCTCATGTGGCTTTCCCATTGCTATATGAGAGATCTTAAATTTGCAATATAAAAAAACATCAGCAACCCCAACCGACAGCTGTGAACTAGCTCTCCGACATAATTTTGCATTAATTGCACTTGGTGGCCCAGCAAAAGTTAGTGAGGGGAGCTAAAAAAAAACTCACTTGGCCATCCCTGCACTCTGTTTAGATCCTTTTTCATTGCTTTCATAGGGACGGGGTTCTGAACCTCGTGAAAGACTCGACACGCTTTCTGTATGAACTTTTTGAACTACTGCTATGAGTAAAATGGCACTGAAGCAATAAAAACAGAAACAG